ATCCTAAAATCCTTGTATAATTTCTTCAGTGATAAAAATTTCTTTTGCTCTACTGGACTCATGGATGGTTTCTGGATAAGGGCTGGTCACCAGAAAGCCCAAACTATGATTAGAAGCATGGAATCTTTAGCTCAATTCCATCATCCCCCATAAAATTCCAATAGTACAGAGTTCAGGGAGTTCAGGGAGCTTCCAGGTGGGTGAATACATCCACACCAGGAGGGTGGTACACCCTAATTTCATGGGGGCCCTGACCCTGGGGCCCTCCCATTCTTCATTCCTCCATTATCTCTTAATCTGACTGTTCATCTGTATCCTCTATTGTATCATTTAATAAACTGATAAAAGTAAGTGTACCCCTGAGTTCTGTGAGCCATGCTAGCAAATTAATTGAACCTGGGGAGGGGTCATGGGAACCTCCAATTTGTAGCCAACTCAGCAGAAGTTGTGAGTTACCTGAGGACCTACTACGTGCGATTAGCATCTAGAATGAGGTAGGAATAGCCTTGTGGGACTGAGCCCTTAACCTGTGGGATCTACACTATCTCCAGGTAGATAGTGTCCGAATTGAGTTATATTATCGGACATCCAGCTGGTGTCAGAGAATTGCTTGGTGGGGGAAAAACCTCCACACAATTGGTGATCAGAAGTGTCAGAAGTGACGTGGTATGTAAAAGAAAAGAAGATTCACAAGTAAAAGAAAGACATAGTACGGAAGAACTGGGCTTTTCCCTAGAGGAGGGAAAAGCTGGAATTTTTTCTTTCCACATATCATCCAGCAATCTCACGTCTGGATATATATCCAAAAGAATTCAAAACACGATCTTGAAAACATATTTGTGTATCGATTTTCACTATAGCATTATTCACCACAGCCAAGAAAATGGAAGCAACTCAAATGTCCAACAATGAATGAATGGATAAACAAAATGTGGCAGGCATATACATACAATGGAATATTACCAGCTTTAAAAAAAGAAAGAAATCCTGCCACATGCTATAATACAGATGGACCTGAAAGACATGCTAAGTGAAATAAGCCAGTCACTATGATTCCACTTTTCTATAGCAGTCAAACTCCTAGTACTAGAAAGTAGAATGCGGGTTTCCAGGGGCTGCAGGAGGAAGAAGTGGTAAGCTGGTATGATTCTGCTCACATGCGAAATCCAAAAAAAATGAATTTGTGGAAACACAGAGTAGAATGGGGGTTGCCAGGGTGTGGGGGAATAGGGAGATGTTGGTAAAGGGTACAAACTTACAGGTCTCAGATGAGTAAATTCTAATGTGCAGCGTGGTTGACTTACAGTTAATAATACTATATTATATATTAGAAAGTTGCTAACAGAAAAGGTCATAAATATTCCCACCACATATGCAAAATGGTAATTACGGGTGATGGAAGTGTCGTCTAATCTTACTGTGATGATCATTTCACAATACACAATTTGATATTTATAATATCAAATCTTCACCTTGCACATTAAACTTTTAGTGTTCTATGTCAATTATATCTCGATAAAGCTGGGGGAGAAAAAGAATCTTGTGTCGCCCATAAAGAAACCAGAGTAAATTGGTGGATAGATATGAAAAATATATTTGATATTTGATTTCTGATATATATACATCATATATATATTTGATATATTGATATTTGATGGATATATATTGAAAAAAGAGAGAGAGAGAGAAGGAATGGGTAGTTGGTGTTCAGTGGACACAGAGATTCAATGTAGCAAGATGAAAAGAAGGTTCTAGAGATTGGATTCACAACAATGAATAAATATATTTAGCACTAATAAAACGTATACTTAAAGATGGTTAAGTGATAAATTTTATATTTTTAACCACAATTTTAAAACTTAAAAAAATCACAGTACACATACAAAAGGCTGGTATAAAGTTATAATCACAACACATTAATCCCATTTTCCAGGTGATTCAGTAATTTGACATTTATGGCTTTTATCTAGTTTTATACTTTCTGAAGTTGTAACTGCAAGCTGAGTGGTCTTTTTTTCCTTGATCTTTTTTTCCTTGGTCTTTGCAGGGATGAATATTACTGATCACTTCTGTTTTTTAAACATCCTCACCTGCTGACTTCACTCACACTAATTTACTTGTTCCCCACCTCTCTGCCACTTCCCTTTCTGTCAGCTTTGGGTGTTTTCCTTGGCACACCCCTTACATGTTACTTGTCCTCCCATCTGTCCTAAGTCGTCTTCTTTCTCTCTCTAGCTGCTTTGTAAAACTCATGACTTCAGTAACTATCTCATGCAGATAACTTCTAAATATTCATCAATTCTGACCTTTCTCCCAAACTCCAGTGCAATATTTTTTAATTTTAATTTTACCTATGAAGGGGCGCCTGGGTGGCTCAGTTGGTTAAGCATCTGCCTTTGGCTCAGGTCATGATCTCAGGGTCCTGGGATTGATTGAGCCCTGAGCCCTGTGCCAGGCTCTCTGCTCAGTGGGAAGTCTGCTTCTCCTTCTCCCTCACCTGTGCTCTCTCTCAAATAAATAAATAAAATCTTTAAAAAAAAAAAAACAAAAACTATGCATATAAGTCTATATATACATATCCTGCAGGTAGCTATAGAGTTAGGTTTCAAGTCTGGTATTTTCTCTCTGTAAAATCTCTCAAATTTGCACCTTGCTCTCCCTTTCAAGTAGATAAAAAGATCACTATGTAATTCATTCATTCATCAAACATTTATTGTGATTTAATTAAATACCGAATGCTGTGCTGGGAACTGGAGACACAAGAATTCGTAGACTAACCTCCACTCTTAAAAAGCGAACTTATATTTATATGTATCTAAGTAATCACAATTACTAGAGTCATCTTCACAAACCACTGTAGAGGAACAGATTATACATCTGCTTGCTTCTGCCAAATAACTCTGAATGAAACTGATATGAGCCACTCCCAAACAGAGGCCTATCCTAATTGAAATGTATCTGGTAGACAAATTCCCTAGTGTGATAGTTAAGGGCCTAAAAATATAGCACCTACTTACTTTTCCAGTTTCATCTCAACCAAACCCACCCACTAAGCTAGTGATTCCCCAAGTTTATTTTTCCACAGTTGTTATTAAATGCTATTCAACGAAAAACAAGGAGAGGGTTTTGGTCAGGCGAGAAGAGGAAAATGTGCTTTGAAACAAAGTTAAAGAGACCTCTTTGTTGCAGGGATTCTTAGAACTTTCAACATGTTCATGTGTTTTGCAAAATTCCTGGAGAATTTATCAGGCAGTCTTTCCCAACCTTGGTGTTCTAACCCCCTCAGACTGCTGGTATATGGTCAACTTTCCTATCACCATTTCTTTATTCATACTCTTCCTCCAACCCCAAGTCCACATGTCCAAATCACATCTTTCTTTCAAGACCCATCACAAACGCCCTCATTCCAGAAAGCTTTTCCTATTTTTTCCTTCACAAAGCGGTCTTTTACCCCTTTGAGTTTCTACTGTCTCACTCAAATTCAGCCTCCATATTGCTTTCAGTGATCTTTGAAAATGCAGATCTATCACAGTGTTCACCTATTTTCAAGACCACGACACCCCGCCCCTGACCTAGCTTTTAGGAAACAAAATCAACTGTAGGCCATGATTGTCCAGACCTGTCCTGTGTTTCTAGCTTCATCTCCCATAATATATACCCTTCTGGCTATACAAAACTGCCCGCAATTCCACAAAGATTTTATGCTGTCATATTGCCATCCATTTATACATTTAGTTTCCTCTACCTCATTACTCTCTGTCCAGCTAATTCCTTGTATTTCCAAACTGAATTCAGCCATCACCTCTCCCAAGGAGGTACCCTTGATCTAATTTGGGTATCTTTCCTTTGTGCTTCCATAATACCCAAAGACAGCAGTTCTCAGGCGGGATCTTGCCCCACTGGGTGTTACATGAAAAGGTCTAGACACATTTCTTCATTATCACAATGAGTGAGGGGTGAGGATGGGAGTGCTACCAGCATCTAGTGAGGAGAGGCCACAGAGGGTGGTAAGCCCCGTATGGCACACAGGACAGGCTTCCATGACAACATGTTAGTAACACCCAGAGTAAGAAACCTTCTGCAAGCACACCACTGTGGTTAGTGCATCACCATATAAACACTGATTTAGTTATTCAGTTCCCCTGCTGGACTGCAAGTTCCTAGAGTAATGGTATTCACTTTTGTTAATAATGTTAACACCCAGCATTCGCAGAGCACTTACTATATACCCCTCCCTCTTCCAAACAATGAATATGTATAATCTCATGTAAATCCTCAGAGACAGCTGTGAGTGGTCATGATTCAGGGTCGTGAGACTGAGTCCTGTGTCAGGCTCCATCCATGTTGGGCATGGAGCCCGCTTGGGATTTTCTCTCTCCCTCTGCCCCTCCCACAGCCCCTCCCACCGTTTATTGCACACACTCTCTCTCTCTCTAAAAACTAAAAAAATAAAATAAACAAATATTCTCTTCCATGTTCTGCAGACTAACAGAGTAAGCTGTGGACTCCCTGAGGTCACACAGCACACACGGGGTGGAGCTAGGAACAATCTGATTTCATAACCCACACTCTTAAAAAACTACTCCACTTTCCTGCCAGGATATTTCTATCAAACAAGAACAACACTTTCCTTTCATGGAGATCAACTCTTTCTTCTGGACATCACTTATGAAACTTTTTAATTACCAGTGCCAAGAGCCCCAACCTCTTAGCACTTGTGACATTTTAAAATGAGTGGTTCTCTGTTGTGGGGAGCTGTCCTGTGCATGGTAAGAAGTAGCATCCCTGTCCTCTACTCACTACAAGCCCATGGCCCCACCACCTCCCAGGACCTGCCTGTCATGACAATAACTTAACATCTTGAGACACTGCCAAATGTCCCTTGGGGAAAAAAGAACCACTGATCGAAACATATCTGTAGAATGAATGAATTCATTTTTAATGCAATAATTGAAAGTAAAAATCTGTTCAAAGACTAAGAAAAAAAAAGAATAATTTACCTTCTCAGCTAATTCTTCTGCTGTTATCTTTGGATCATAGGGAATAGGATCACCTAAATAGGTACGTAATTTCACTGGAAAACCGCCATACATTGGAGCAAATGGATAGCGGAATTTTTCATAAAGCCACCTAAACAGCCCTGTTTTAAAGTAAACAAAATTATTTTAATTGGTTAAATATTCTGAGCAACTGTAAATTTTAAAATTAATAATTAATAATGTGAGACTTAGAAGAAGGTAGCAAACAGTATCACCTCCCAATAATTAATACAATATGTATATATTTTAAAGATGAGCTTTTCATCAATTCTAACAAATGTAGCACATTAATGTAAGATGTTAATAATAGGAGAAATCAGAAGGTGGTGAGAAGCTTTATGGGTACTCTTTGTACTGCCACTCAATTTTTCTGTGAACCTAAAAATGCCCCCCAAAATAAGGTTTATTTTTTAAAAAATGAACTTTTAAAAATATGAGAATTTTAAAAGGCAAACCAATTACTATTATTACAGAACTGAGGATAAAGATTGCAACCAAAAGCTAGAAGCTAAAAAGTCTAGAGACTCACAAATACAGGCTTCTATGAATAAAAGAAAAGAAAAAGCATAAGATAAATTCACATAAACATGAAACTAAAATACACCAATAAATTGGTAAAAAAAAATTATTGTAAATTAAGAAAAATGCAAAAAGTAGCAAAGAATTACTAATGCTAATGACCAAGTATGAAACCTAGCAAAATCAAAAGTGGCAATAATGTAAAATAAACTGGGGGATTAAGTAAAAAAGAAAGTCAAAAAAGCAGTCACAAGTAATTTTTAAACCACTTTATAATTAAAGAAACAAAATTGGGAATAATTTTGTTATGCAACTTAAATTCTGAAGAAATAACCTGAGAGAAAATTAGAAGAACAATTCTATAGCAACAGCTAACATCACATCAATCTGCCTTTCCAGCTTAAATTTGGAAAAAAAAGGGGGGGGTGAATGTTAACACCTAAAAAACGTAATAGAATATCAACAACATACCAACATTACACATAAAAGAAGCAATAAAGGTTTAAAGTTCTTTAAGAGGGGATTTGTATGTGGACAGGAATAATATAGTTATGGGGATATACCACAGGGTATAAAAACAAACTGAAAATTTCAAAATAAAAAGAAAACAACAGAGATATTGCAAAAAAAAAAAAAAAAGCACTTCTAATTGTTATCACTCCAGTAACTACACTCAAAGCTTATTTTGTTATCCATAAATTAGACAAAAAGAACTTTACAATATAAATGTATCATGGTTCAAAATATTATAAAAAGCAAAAAACAAGAAGTAACAGAAATGAACCAAAGCAGATGATACATCCTTAGGTCGTTAATCTTAATTCAATATCATATTGTCATCCATTTTTAAAGCTGTAACTTCTTCAGTGGTGAGTTAGGAAGATAGTCTGGGTAATGGGTACATTTGTTCAAAACCTCAATAGCATGACTCAACTAAGGAAATTAGGTAACTCACTCTGTAATTTTAAGAAGCCCACAAAACAAATAAGCTTCAGTATGTATATAAGACTCTTAACAAAAATATAACATCTAAGAACTGCCACTAGTTAGAATCAGTTATCATTCAGACTGTAAATAATAAAACATCTAAATATATATCCATTATCTAAAGTAATAATACAAAAGAATTTCTTATAGGGTTCGAAAGCCCAAGTATTTCGAAGATTATATTCTGAATATTACATTATAATTAGAAAAACCGTATGAACCAGAACTTACTTGTTCCTCCAAGTGATCTAAATCCTTCTCGAATATTTTGTGTAAACATAGGAATAATGGGCTGAAGAGAGAATTTGAATTAAAAAATTAAATATATTGATCCATTCAATATCTCCATTGAGTCAATAATGCAAACTTTTGAGGGCTTGTTCAAGATTATGAAAATGAGGTATTTTTAAAATAAAGGTATACTTTTATCACCAGTGTGATTTATTTAGACTAAATTTAACTTGATCATTTGTAAAAACAAAAATTGGAAACACTACCCTCTAGTGGCAATATATAATATTTCACTTACAAACTTTCCTATCCTTTCCACATAAACTCTTGAAATTCAAAATAAAGATTACAGTAATCATTAATTTCATTAAATAAAATTAATGTGGTAAATTAATTTGATTTTAGTGGTCCACTGAATAGTATGCTCACTGGAGAAAAAGTTACAAGGCAGATATTCCCTCTATGGGGAAATTTATATAAATTCAAATGACAGGTTTTGGAAAGATGCTGTCATGCAACCACCAAAACACTATTTTTTCCTGAGATTATTAAATCTAAAAATGTTGAACATCAATGAAAAGTATAAGACCCACTGCAAAAAAAAAGGAAAATTAATATATAAAAATTCCTTTTATCATTAATATTAAAGGATTTCTGCTCACAAGTTCATGGTTTTTATTATTCCATGAACATCTGTGATTAAGTATGATTTTTTAAATGGAGACCTTAATCAAATGTCCTAAAACAATGAAGTGGCAAAGGATCATATAAGGAGATAGAACGATGGTGAAACTGAAGTAGATAAAAAATTGAATAAGAACACTTTAAAATGCTCACAAAATACACTGAATTAAATGACATTTTAGAATTGAAAAAACAGAATCACTTTACTTACATTCTACCATCAGTATTTGCCTAATACAGAGTTACCTGCCCTGGTGAGCAGGGTTTGAGATATTTAAATAAGCTGACATTTAAAAAGCCATCCTTATTCAGTTGTGGAAAACATTAAATATGGTGGACTAAAGGAAAGGGACTCAGGTATAGCTTTCTTCATTAAACTTATTAACTCACATAGAACTGCTGGTCATTTATTTAGTGTATTTCTCCCCTCACCAGAAGGACACACTGTTTTGTTTACAGCTATATCCCCAGCACCTGGAATAGTGCCTGGAACAGACTAGGTGCTAAAACAAAGTGTGATGGATGAATTAATTAACGAAAGAATGAAGACATGGGACAGAGAGACATCGCACATAATGAAGCAGTTTGTATTCTCTGAATACAAAGTGTTGGAAATAGGCAGCAATCTTAAAACAGTTTGGAAAAAAGAAGTCAGGTAAAGAAAGGAACTCTGACGGAAGAATTTAAAAGTCTCATGGTGTTAATTCACAAAGCTAAAACATAAAACAAAGTACACTGACTCTTTTGTACAAAATTCAGATTATGATCTAGGAAGCCAACACTAGTTTTGTGAAATAGTGACTGCTGACATTCTAACTTTTTTAAAAGAATTATAAAATGTCTTTAGAGTTGAGAACATAAAATGCCCAAGAAGAAACACAAATCTCATGGCTCATAATACATCCTTTGTCTTCTCTGACCAGTACTGCGGGATTTATGTCTACTGACTAGCATGAACCCCTAGATTCATACTGAAGCATACACTTTATGAAAACTCTTCAGGGTACATACCACCCTTTAAATAGCTTACTCTCCAGAAGCTCGATAAATCTAGAACCTATTAAGAAGGAAAATGCTCACCCTAGCAGACTCAGTATTCCAGGCTATAGTCTGGCCATATAGTTTCTATATTTGCATTCAAGCTAACAGCCTTAAAGTTATAAGCATTACTTTATAACAACTTGATACTGTAGTACAATTATTCATTCCTTTTCTTATATACCTAATGCATACAAGGTATTGGCATAAGTAACCTGGAATTAAATTGTTTGCATGCATACATGTGTCTCCTTATGTACGTGAATGTACATGTGTGAAAGAGAAAGAGAATGTGTATCTTGTTAAAACTATTCTTGGGGCATTAGTTTAAAATGGTCTTAGAGTCTAAACTTTGCCCCTAAAAATAAGTGAGCACCACTGGACAAGTTATTTACCACGTTTATTCTTCAGGTTCTTCATATATAAAGTGGGAATAATAATAATTACACTATCTCAAAGGTTATTTTTTAGACTGATATAATACATATAAACAATTTTATTAAGACAAATGTTATTTTCTTTTACATCACTTGTTTTTCCAAGCTGAGTAAATGGGCTAATATTTTTCCAACTTATTTAGATATGAAGTTACCTAAAAATTCTCAGGAATTTCATAAAGTAAGTGACTTAAATTACATTAAAAAGCCTGTAACTTTCAGAAAACCTTAAACATTTTTTTACCAATATTGTGTGAACTTGCATTGAAAATCTAGATTTTTTCACTTTAATTTGTTACCATGTTACAATTTAAATGTAATTATTCCTCCAACAGTCTTAAATTTTTACTTTATGATAATTTTGTGTTTATGATAGTTTATGATAATTCTGTGAGGACCATGAAGGGGTTTTCCAGATTGGACACTTGTACCATTTACGACTATCTCTATATATGGTTAAAAATGCTCCCTCATGTATCTGGAAGGTGCCTCTAATCTCAAGGTCAGCAGACTCACTGTGAAATGCAGTCAGGGATGGCAACAGCCGCGGTTGCCTGCGGTCCTGAACTGTATGTTCTGCTCTGCTTCTGCCTTGCTGTATGACCCGATCCCTCCATCCCTTCATCTCTCTGTACCTGAGTTTCCTCATCTGTAACATCGGAATAATTATATATGTCACCTACTTAATGTACAGGAGTACCGACATAAAGCCTTTTAAAAGCACTACAAAAGGTTGGGGTGGTACAATAGTTATCAAATGTACAATGCTACCTGTAAATCAACAATGGTAAAGATTTCTGACTTAAAACTTACAAAAGATGTTTATAAAATGTTCTTAAGTTTCATACAAAAACCTTAAATTATCTAGATTATCTTAATTATCTAGAAACTCTATCAAAGATTGAAAATAATAGTTCCTTTCTCTCTATAATTTCTTTCTTTCCAGCCTTCTTCCAGGAAATGTTCCTTAAATCTGTGAGGTTAAGGATGAGAAATTGGAATCTCATGATCAATTTATATAATTCCAAACCTACTTTTGTGATTTTCACCTTAAAACTTCAGGAGAAATAATCCTTTCAAATATAAACCTGAAAATTAAACTATCTTTGATTAGGGTTTTAGCTTTTATCACAGCTTTAACAGACATTACTTTCATTACCCTTAATTTTTGTACAATGGTGCATATATCCTTTTGTACTTTCTCATATATTCTAAAATTTTTATAATCAGTGCTTAAGACTCTGAGAAATAAAATGTGCTATGAATTAATTTTCTGTATCACTAATACTATTAACGTAAGTTAAATTCCAAATGTCCCTTTCTAGTAGTGTTTAATATTATGTTAAAATAATCAATTTAATTTAATTCAAATAGCCTACTAAGTGCTAGTCACTGTACTAAGGACTCAGAATATAAAAAGATGATCTTGTCCTTAGGGAGCTTATAATTTACTGTAGGACAATAATGTTTAAATTTTTATGTTGTCTATAGTTAAACACTTGGACAAGTACATTAACTCTTATTCTGGGATCACATTACTAAAGCACTACAGCAATTACTTTTAGTAGTTACATGTACATGTGTACAGGAGAGAATAAAGTTTGACACATTTTATTTTAACTCTGCAGTTAAAAAAAAAAGGAAATTTCCATTTTTTTTCCAAAAAGAAAATTTCCATTTTTTCCCAAATACTGGTCTTGGGTTAGAATGAGTCATCCATAAACTCTTCCTTTTTAATCCTATATTTGTAAGATGAACAGGTAAGCTAAAGGTGCATAATGGTCTCTATATAGCAGCAAAGGGTACACAAAAAAACTGAGACATGAAAGTATTGGCAACAGTCTCTAACTAATTGGCCTGGAAAAAGAACACCATCCTGTCAAAGGCACTACCATTTCTTTTTCCAACAGACAATCTAAAATGAAAACAGAAAACAAAGAAGAAACATTCCATAAGTAATAAATAAATGTTTCATAGGATAAATTATAATATGGAGACCAAAAAGTTGAGAATTACTTTCCAATGCAAAGAAAAGGACAAAATGGCATTCGTATTCTCCAGTCTACCAAGTAGAACAGTCACCGTGGATCCCTGAGGAACACTTAATCTTATTGACTAATTTTTTTATAAAATCTTTTTAAAAGATCTAAATTACACTAATACCTATTTCTTATCTTTATTCACACTATCAGATAGCTGATCACATTTGCTGAAAAAATAACAGGAGTTATGTATTCAAGTCCCATTATTATACAAATTGGTCACATAAAAGAATTGCAATGAAACCAACCAACAACCATCACTGAAATATGCCAACTCAGTCATACCAAAGGCTTAAAATACATAGAACTGAAAATACTTTTGAAAAAGATGTAACTGAAGGAATACAAAAAATTTTACAGATCTAATTAAAAGCAGCTGGATTTTGAAATTTTAAAATAAAACTTGGATGGATATTTTCCAAATTTTCATATTAATTTTTTTAAGATGGCATCCCAAGCACAAGGAAAATTTCTCTATCATTAACCTTACAAAGAGTTATGTACACTGATCTTTAAGTAGTGCAATTAAAGTATCTAAATTCTTATATATTCTGGCCCACTACATAAGCAATGATTTTAAATTCAACCTAGCTTTACTTTAATAATTAGTTTTATATAACTCACCACTTTTGCATCAATTGCAACCTGAGCGAAGCCTTTACGATTACCCCAAATGATGTTGTAGGTTTCATCACTAATTAGGGCTTCTCGAACTCCACCTGGTGAAATAGCTAACAAGTGACCGCTCCTCAGAATTTCAACGCATTTTTCTCTTGGTCCATGTAGAGCACAAAATACATCAAGTAATAAACTAAACCCTGTAAAAAACATTAGCATGAAGATATATCTTAAGTACTTCTCGTCCAATTCTTCAAGACAAAAATCTTTACAACCTACATAAATTATCTATACTTCAATCAGTAAACTCCTTTTCTTACTTCTTTTTTTTAGTCAACAAGAACTCTTAAGGTTTGGATAAGATTAATATTGCTGATAAAGTAATAGCTAAGCCTTATTGATCACCTCCTATTGATAATCTCCTCAGTGATCACCTACTACTCGGGTTACAGTGCATATTCAAACTGTGAATTAAAACTCACAAAATCCTTGGAAAACAGGGATTCTGATCCCCATTTTACAGACAAAGAAGTTGGTTCAGAGGATAAGTATCTTGCTCAAAGTCACACACCTAGCAAATGGCAGGGCAGAGATTCCAGTCCGGGTATGTCTAGTCCAAAGCTCCTTCCACTGCATCTCAGAGCCAAACACTGTCTATAGTATTTATTACAGCAATCAGAAATGATATCCCATCAGCAATCACAAATCTAATCTTCCTTCAACCCTATAAGAAAAAGAATCACTCAAGAGAATGTAAATCTGACTATACTTAGCCCTACCAAAATTGGCAAGCCATAACACATCTATTGAAATTAAAAGTAAGATGATGTTAATCCCATAATTAATTTGTTAAATCAAAAATAACAGCAAAATCATTGAGTTTTTAATGAAGTGAGTATTTAATTCAGTTACAGCTAATTCCAAGTCTTAATATGATACAGTTTTTCAAAGCACAATTATTTATGGATGAAAGAAATAATCCTATCAGTAATTAACTACTTTAACCAAATACTAAACTGGAACTTCTGAGGACTGATGTTAGTATAATACATTACTTTTGAGAATGGGAAATATGAGTAGTGAAACTGTGCAGACTAACCAAACTTCTCACAGTTTTAAGGATCTGAAGCAAGGTTATAAAAATTATTAAGATTCAAATAATATTCACCACATATTATATTAAAAGCTCACTGACTTAACTGGATGCATTTTCATAATAGGTTTCATAAATTACAAGATCATAAAGGAGAAATCTCTTTAAAAACCAAGTGCTAAATAAAAATATTCACATCGTATTATGTATAAAAAGAAAAAAATGGAAGCAACCTGTAAGAGAAAACTAGTCAATAAATATTTTAGTCATACATTAAAACTATTCTTTATAAAGCAAGGTAAAATGTTAGTGCTAATACTATCTATTTTTTCAAAAAACACAAAAGAGTTTACATAACATGTAAAAATATACAAATTAAAAATGATGTATAATAAATAAAAATGTAACTGGTTATATAAGGGTAGTAAGATTATAATGATGTTTTCCTTTTCTCTAGTTTGCAAATTTATTATAAAGTGATCATATTCCTTTCTAAAGAGAAATCTTTTCTAGCCAATTTAGTTTAATCAGACACAAGGATACCCAAAACATTAACCATGTCTATGAAAGGCACTGAATAGATTGTTATTTAATTCACTGTTTGGTATCTGTCTCTCTGGTTGATGGGTGGCTTTGGCTTTTATTATTCTAAAGGACATGCTATCAGCTTTGTTGACTTATTTCTGGTGATTCAGTGACAAAAGAAAATAAGATTTATTACCAATGAGTTTTAGAATGGCTTTTTAAAAACTATCTGAAACCATTTGGTTAACTAATCTTTTTAAAAGGTATAAAGCATTTATGAACAGAAAGGAGAATATATTCCTTAATTTTAAGAGTTGTAAGTCTAGCAGGCAAGTCAAGTATGATAAAGACATACAGATTCTTTAGGATAGGATTTCTGAAGCAATATTATTATATGAAGACAAAATATATCCTGGTTGATTTTTTTAAATAATTTTGATTTGCTATAATACAGACAGTAATCAAACTTTAATTACTCTGAAGTTAAACTCCAAAAAATCAGTATCTCATTGAGAAATTCATCATATGAAAAATCAACTACCCTCTATACCAAAATATAAATTAATTACATGGCAAAAGTTACAATTTATTTTTTTAATTGGAAGTTTAGCATTTAACTTAGAAAAATGACTAAATACCTATTAATAAAGAAAAAAAAATTAGATAACATTTTTGACCATAATGTTTTTATATTTAGATACATTACCTAAAGAGCATTATTAGATATTAGAGCTAAGTGTGTTACCCTAAAAAGGCAAAAATCTTTTCCAAATGGTACTAGAGAGCTCAAGGATACAAAATTTAATATAATTTGATCATGTTAATTAAACATTTTTATATCACTATCTACAGTCAAAGTTTACCTGGGATTTTAAAGACAAAGTGATCAGCTACTACACGGCAAGTTCTGCCTTTGTGGATAAAAATTTTAGCCATGAAGTAGTAAAAATCTATAGGAATAGCTCCATGATAAAAAATGATAAGTGCTGGTCCTTCTTCTGGTATTTTTTCCATCCCATGAACTTCATAACCTGTTGGAAAGACAAAATACAATGCTTAAAATATATTTATTAGTTTATTTACACTAAAGGATGTTTATTAACTCAGAAACTCAGTCTTTTCTTATAGAAGTGCATAAGCCTTCCTCTTTCTCCTTCCCTTCTTGCACGAATCAGTCCTACAGCCATTAGGCGGGCCAGAGTGAAGTCTGGGGTGGAGGGATGGCCTGGAGTACATGCTGGAGCCCAGTCAGGGTGAGGAGGGCATCCACATGAGGCAGCCCAGAGTGGGGAGTCAAAGCCCAAGCACAGTTCTGAGTGCACCCCCACAGGAGAGTCTAGAACAGGGTGCTGGAGCCTAAGTGGGAAAGGGAAGGGATCCAACGGTGGGATTAAGCACAGGATTGGAAGATAGCATCCAGACACTTCAGTGGCCTAGTATCAGGTATCAGCCTGAATGGGGTAAGATGGTATCTGCAAGTGGCAGAGGATGGTGACAGTGATAAGAGGTTCGTTACATATGGGGGGTTGGTCAAATGAGTCTACACATTAAGGATGTGAGCCTGGTTCCTCACTACTGGAGAAGGTAGCTACAAAAACAGAAAAGGAGAAAACTAGTATAAACTCAAACCATAAGAGAACCTCGCTCCTACCCTAAAAGTAAGAAAAAGCAGTATGTCAGAAAGCTGAGGTCGCTCTCTCAAACAGATGAACCAACAGCTCCAATAGGTGATAAGCCCCTCTAATGAGAAACAAACCGAGGATGGGAGGAAGACATAGGTACCCTAAAAATAGGCAAAAAGAAAATAACTGAAATGTTAACGAATTCAAAGATCAAGTGAGGTGACCACTGAGTGTAGAATCCCTGGGAATCCCAGATACAAACAAGAGTCCACACTCACCAACATTCCTCCATGGGACTCAGTGGGTGCTTATAAGAAAAAGCGGGGACATGGCAGGGAAGAGACCCAAAAGAGCCCTTGCAAATGGTATAGAGAACAAAATCTTACTTGCTTCTCAGAAGCTTCTCTTGGAAAAGCAAAACCTGACACTGGGAGAGGTGCAGGAAACTCTTCCATCCCTTCTAAGAAAACAGCATCTGTAAAAAGCAACTGATGCTGGAAAGGACAGAACTCATTCCCCCCTCCTCTCACCCTTGCCTCACCCTACTATCCCACTCTCAGGCAGAAGTCCACTTCTGGGTAGAAGGGTAGAAGTCAAAACATCTGCCTCTGGGAGATAGAGAGTAGGTCCAGTTTCTGAAATGACATCAAGCAGAGATCTGCTACTACTCAGAGGAAGAGCAAGAAACTTTGTGCCAACCCCAGACTCCCAGCTACACAAGGCAGAGTTTGCCTCCCATGGGGAAGAAGCAAAGGGACATTGAGAAAGCCTCACACCTGAGCCTCAGGCATACAGGGCCTGTGTACAATTCTGGCTAAACCAAGAAAATTGAAGAGTTGCCCCTCTCATCCCCATCCCACCACAAGCCTCACATGGAGTTACAAACAAAGGCAAAGAAAGGCCCCCGTCTGTGGTACAGGCATACTGGGTTAAGGAGAGAGGAGGAAGATGGAGAAAAACCCTCTGGCACTGTTATATACAAATGTTATATACAAAACATCATTTAAAAGTGTTATATACAGGGGCACCTGGGTGGCTCAGTGGGTTAAAGCCTCTGCCTTCGGCTCAGGTTATGGTCCCAGTGTCCTGGGATCGAGCCCCACATCGGGCTCTCTGCTCTGCGGGGAGCCTGCTTCCACCTCTCTATCTGTCTGCCTCTCTGCCTACTTGTGATCTCTGTCTGTCAAATAAATAAATAAAATCTTTGAAAAAAAAAGTGTTATATACAAATAAAACACCATTTAAAGTGTTATATAAAATTCGTTATATACGAATGTTGCAAACTTTTGTTTCACTCCCAAACATATAAATTATACTTTAGAAATTCCCCCCATTTTATTCATCAAAAACAAAAATGATTTTATAAAATCTAACTACTACATGCAGGGAAAAAACTGTGATGACAAATTTGAATTAGAGGTCAAGAAAACATCTCTCCTGTACTACAAGTGAACTTAAAGACTAGTGCCACCCCTTAATTCTCCTTCCTGCCACATTATTAACTCTGTTCCGAGTCACTGTAAGGGGAACAAGTTTCACCAAGGGAAGCAAATGACAGGATGAAAGACTGGTGGAGATGGGGATGATCTTTGGAGGCTTCCTTCTAATATGAACCAGTTTATGTTGGCTTCCTGTCCATACTTTTTTTTCCCTCTTCCGCCAGCTAATGAGATTAACCTGCCTACTGCCCTTTACACTGCTATACCAATACATTTTTTATGGCAATCCTGTGCTATTGGTGTTTGTGGGGAATATAAAAGATTTACGTAAACTCCACCAATGCTTCAGAGGAAAATACCCTGCATATTTTATCACTAGAGTTTGAACTTATACTCTGAGGAGGAGATGAAATGTGACCATGGTTCTAGTCATAAGATCTGTTTTTCCTTCCCACCTTACTGTTGCCAGGTGCCATACAGACCTCTGCCTCAGCAAGTCCCAGCAAAAAGAAAAAAGCAAACTGAACCACCAATGAGTCAATGCAGAAATCAAAAGAGAATACCACAGTACCTTGAGACAAATGAAAATGGAAATATACTGGAAATGGAATTATACTGAAATAAACTTGTGGGACACAGCAAAAGTTTTAAAAGGGAAGTTCACAGTGATAAATGCCTATCTCAAGAAAAATTTCAAATAAACAACCTAACTACACCTCGAGAAACTATAAAAAGAACAAAGTTAGTAGAAGGAAGGAAATAACAAAGATTAGAGGGGAAATGAGTGAAATAAAGGCTAAAAAGTCAACACAAAATATCAATGAAACCAAGTGGTTTCAGTTGACTAAGTGGTGGTTCAGTTGACTAAGCCTTTGCCTTTGACTCAAGTCATATTCCAGAGTTCTGGGATTGAGCCCCACATCGGGATTCCTATTCAGCGGGGAGTATGCTTTTCCTTCTGCTCCTTCCCCTGATCATGCTTACTCTCTCTCACTTTCTATCTCCCTTTCAAATAATAAATAAAATCTTAAAAAAAAAAAAAAGCAGAGATGACTCTTTGAAAAGATAAGGAAACTGACAAATCTTTAGCTAGATTCACAAGAAGAAGAGAGTACTTGAAAAATTAACTCAAAGAGGGGACCTTACAACTGATACCACAGAAGCACAAAGAATAAGAAACTACTATGAAAAATATATGCCAAGAAACTGGACAACCTACAAGAAATGGATAAATTCAAACCTCTAAGACTGAATCATGAAGAAACAGAAAATCTGAATAGACCAATTACTAGTAAGGAGATTGAACTGGTAATCAAAAACCTCCCAACAAACAAAACTCCAGGACTAGATGGCTTCACCAGTGAATTATACCAAACATTCAAATAGGAATTAATACCAATTCTCAAACTCTTCCAAACAACAGAAGAGGAGAGAACTCTTCCAAACTCATTTTACATTACCCTGATACCAAAACCAGACAAGGACATTACAAGAAAAGAAAATTACAGGCTAATATCCTTGATGAACATAGATGTAAAAATCCTCAACAAAGTATTAGCAAACCAAACTCAGCAATGCATTAAAAAAATCATATACCATGATCAAATGGAACTTATAAGAATGTAAAAATGGTTCATCATTTGCAAATCAATTAATGCAATACACCACATAAACAAAATGAAAAGTAAAAATTATATGATCATCTCAATAGATGCAGAAAAAGCATTTGACAGAGTTCAACATCCATTTATGATAAAACTCTCAACAAAGTGAGTATAGAGACAACATACGTCAACATAATAAAGGCCATATATGAGAAACTCATAGCTAACATCCTACTGAATGGTGGAAAATTGAAAGTTTTTCCTCTAAGATCAGAAATAAGACAAGGATGCACACTCTCACCACTTTTATTCAACATAATACTTAAAGTCCTAGCCAGAGCAGTAGGGCAAGAGAAAGAAATAAAAGGCATCCAAATTGGAGAGGAAGGAATAAAACTGTCAGTATTTAGAGATGACATGATATTCTATAGAGAAAACCCTAGAGACTCCATCAGAAAACTCTTAGAATAAACAAATTCAGTAAAGTTGCAGGACACAAAATAAATGTACAGAAATCTGTTGTGTTTCTGTACACTAATAACAAACTATCGAAAAGAGAGATTAAGAAAACAATCTCATTTAAGACTACATGCAAAAGAATAAAATATCTAGAATAAATTTAACCAAGGAGGTAAAAGACCTATACTGAAAATAATAAGATATTAATGAAAGAAACTGAACTAGATACAAATAAATGGAATGGTATTCCATGCTCATGGATTGGAAGAACTAATATTGTTAAAATGTCCGTAACAGCCAAAGCAATCTACAGATTCAATACAATCCTTACCAAAATTTCAATGGCATTTTTCACAGAAATGGAACAAGCAAACCTAAACATTTGAATGAAACCATGAAAGATCCCAAAGAGTCAAAGCAATCATGAGAAAGAGCAAAGCTGCAGGCAACATTTCCCTGATCTCAAACTGTATTACAAACCTATAGTTATCAAAACAGTATGGTATTGAAATAAAAACAAACACACAAATCAACAGAACAGAATAGAGAGCCCAGAAATAAATCCACACACACATGGTCAATTAATTTTTGACAAAAGAGGCAAGAATATGCAATGGGGAAAGAATAATCTCTTCAATGGTCACATTGGGGTCACAATGGAGAAATGGTCACATTCAAAAGAATAAAACTAGACTACTATCTTCCTCATACACAAAAATTAACTCAAAACGGATTAAAGATTTGAATGTTAAGACCTGAAACCACAGAACTCCTAGAAGACATAGGCAGTAAACTTCCTGACATCAGAGTTGGAAATGACTTTTTATATCTGATTCCAAAATCAAAGGCAACAAAAACAAAAATACACAAATAGGACTGTATCAAACTAAAAGGTTCTGCACAGCAA